AAAAAACAAGATTTGGTTTTTAAAAAGCCTTTTTCCAAAAGGTACATCTGGAAAAAGGGGGGTCGTCTTATAATCAGGGTCGTCTTATATTCGGGCCAATACGGTAGTTGTTAACTAATTTGGGGTCACTGTTACCTATATGTATGCTCTTCTTTTGTGTATTTATATGATACTGAACAAATATGGAATATACAAAAGCACATTCTGAAGCTTTGCCTAAGAGAAGGAAGTTCATCTAAGGCTAATCCTGATTCCTGAATCGAGTCACTTCCACATCTGTCCATATTTGTATCTTGTTATAAAACTCTGCTGCATTAAATATGAGTAAATCTGGTTGGAGATTATGAAGCTTACTCGGTTTTAATTTACAGCCTCAAGTATTCATTTCAAGTAGGATGGGTGGATTGGATTTGCTCACTTTATTCATAATATTGCTGATCTAATTAAAAATGAGTATGCTCATCTAATTTATATCTGAAATGCAGGTACATTTTTGTTTTCCAACTGCTTACCTTTAAATGTAGTAAAATCATAATGGCTAATGTGTCGAAACTAAACTAATAGCAGTTTTCGTTTCACAGGTGACTTTGTGAACTCAAATATCTTTAATCTCCCATTTTCTTTCCAGAACTGTCCCGCTGACGTTGTATTGTGCTTTCGGAATAATAACAGTGCGAAACCAGCAGCAAACATTGGATATCTTTTTTTTTTCCACATCTTGAATCTTTCCTTCTACCTTTGAAGACAGAAACTCAGTGAGGACCTCTCATCTTCGCCACTAACTGAGCTGTGTAGCTATTTATCTTTGTCTCGTCATCAATAGGCTGCTGTCTGTCTCTGTAGGTCACAGAGCACCTCCAGCCCGGAGTGGCCATCGCTGTGTGGCTGACAACACCAACCTCTATGTGTTCGGAGGATACAACCCAGACTACGACGAATCAGGTGGCTCGGAGAACGAAGACTACCCACTGTTCAGGGAGCTGTGGAGGTTCCACTTCGCCACAGGGACATGGCAACAGATCCGCACCGAGGGTTTTATGCCTACTGAACTGGCTTCAATGTCAGGTAACATGATTTTTTTTGTTTATATATATATATATAAAATGTAATATTTTTTTGGTTTAGTATAAATTATAGTATAGTATACATTTTTGTATAATTTATTGTTTTTAGTATATTATATAAAATTATTTTAAACCTCTTTACCTCACTTGACCATCTTCTGTGTACATCAAACAGCTGTTTTGCACGGAAACAACCTGCTTGTGTTTGGCGGGACCGGAATCCCGTTTGGGGAAAACAATGGGAATGATGTTCATGTCTGCAATGTTAAATACAAACGTTGGTCCCTCCTCAACTGCAGGGGCAAGAAACCCAATCGAATATATGGACAGGTACAAAAGCCTTAAAAAAAATTTTATATGATGTAACCTATTAATGAAAAGTAAGTGAACTAGTAAACATACTAACCTGCATAGATTAATTGAGTGATCCCTGATTTGTTTTTCAGGCGATGGCCATAATAAACGGCTTCCTCTATGTATTTGGAGGTACGACGGGCTACATCTACAGCACAGATCTCCACAGACTGGATCTGACGACACGTGAGTGGATTCATCTGAAACCCAACAACCCTCCAGATGACCTGCCTGAGGAGCGGTAAGTGACTTTTGACCTTTTAATTTTATTTTAAACAATGCTAGGGTCACTAAGCACATTTATGAACGCTGTCTGATGCTAAAATGTCAGTCTATGAGGAGATATGCCAAACTTCCTTCTAAATTTGTTTTGTATAGATATAGGCATGAGATAGCCCATGATGGACAGAGGATATATATTCTAGGAGGGGGAACTTCCTGGACTTCTTACCCATTAGACAAGGTACAAATGTTTCCATGAATCACCATTTTAGTCAGTGTTACATGACTTCATTTGTTTACTTGAACTAATGGGCCTTGCTCATGAAACCTGAAAACATCTCGGTGTAATTCATACTTCAATTGTCATATGTATTCAGGTTAGAAAATGTACATATTAAATGGATTAAGGATTTTTTTTTTTAGAAATTTTAATATAAATGACAGTTGTCCCAAATGTTTGTATTAGATACATGCATATAACCTTGAAACAAATTCCTGGGAGGAAATCACAACTAAGCCTCATGAAAGAATAGGTTAGTAATGCAATTCTCATCTTAATAAATTTGACATCTGACAATGGAAAGCAATTTGTATTGCATGCTTATTCTGTGCTTTTTTTCCCCCCAGGATACCCAGCCCCTCGGAGATGTCATAGTTGTGTGCAAATTAAAAATGGTAAGAAGTTAACAATGTAAATTTAATTTAAGTTACTTTGTAGAGCTCAGTGTGTGATCACTGTTGTTCTCTGTGACAGATGTATTTATATGTGGAGGTTACAATGGTGAAGTAATACTGGACGACCTGTGGAAAATCAACCTGCAGACGTTTCAGTGGAATAAACTACCTGCAGTGATGCCTGAACCTGCGTACTTCCACTGTGCTGCTGTTACCCCAGTCAGTTCAGTTTTGTTTTTTTGGTCATCTTCTTACATTTATTCTGCTGTTAATGGCGTTAACAAAGGGTTTCTTTTACACACGCAAGAGTCTAAAATCGTTCTAAACATCTTTTTTTTTTTATCTTTCAGGCTGGCTGCATGTACATCCACGGCGGCGTGGTGAACATCCATGAGAATAAGAGGACTGGTTCCTTGTTTAAGATCTGGCTGGTAGTGCCCAGTCTGCTGGAGCTGTGCTGGGAGCGTCTACTCAAAGCCTTCCCACACCTGGCCCAACTTACCCCGATACAGCTGCTAAACTTGGGCCTCACCCAGGAACTCATTGAACGCTTGAAATAAAGAGGCGAGGGAGCTGTGAGCGTGAGAGACAGATCGTGTATGTACTATGTGTGTACCGTTTTATTTCAATTTTTTAGTTTTCTTTTGTTTTTTGAAGCTGATCACGGGCAGGACAACGGCGCTTGAAGCCAGTTTGTGGACGAGAAGAACTGAATCGACTAAGGCACCCCATCCTAACACAGCCCGCCTTAAAACCAAAAACTGTAGGATGCCTTTTTTGTTTTTGCGTATGCACCTTTTAATGATTTGAAAATCAATACAAAACATAAATATCCATTAGAAGGCTCTTTTCTCAAACACTACAGGTCAGTGACCTGAATGAAAGCTGTTTTTTGTTTTCTTGAGATTGTATTGTTATTTATTGGCCTTCAGTAGTGATATTGAGTTGTTTTTACTGATGTATCTTAATTATATTTCCTCTCCCGTCAAAGAATGGAGTTTTATGAATCACCACACCACGGCGTGAATATTCAATCAGAAGTGATGTAATCGGTGTTCAATTAGCAATTAACTGTTTGGATATCTGAACAGACTTATGCAGAACTATTGATGCCTGGGATTGTGATTTAAGGTTTTACTTCAATGAAAATGGTGCAAAACAGTGTTGAAAAGTTGAATGTTTTAACAAAATGGGTTTTCAGAGATTGTTGATTTTTAGGTTGAATGCTGTTGCTCAGATCTGCAGTTTCATCTGCATTTAAGGCACAAACACCAGACCAAGTAATGTTTCAACAAAGCTGTACAGTCATAGCAGAGCTGTTCCCATGCTTCACCCAGTTTTGTAAACCAATCGTTACATCACTGTGAACAAGGTGCTCCTTAATTTACTTTTCATGCTTTTACTGAAATAAAATGTTTTTCCATAAACAAAATCAACCCTCATCCAAATGTTTAAACTGACACATTGACACATTTAATTGATCTAGTGCCTTTACTGAGCAAGATGTGATAATGTGCTAAATTAAACAAAGCCTTGCTAAAAGCACTTTATTATTTAACTCAAATTCTATTCTAGAAAAAGTTTCTAATACAACAAAGATGCGCACTTACTATTTTCATCAAGCTTTCTAGCACTTGATGTATTTACAGTAAATAAAACTACTTAAATTTAAAACTATTTGGTCAGCACAATGCTAATGATATTTTGGTCCTTGTGTATATCTGTACAGAAAAACGGATAACCTTCCTGTCATTTAGCAATGTAGCGGAGCATATTTTACTATGCTGACCTAAAGCTCTGAGTGATAATGTGCTAAATTAAACAAAGCCTTGCTAAAAGCACTTTATTATTTAACTCAAATTCTATTCTAGAAAAAGTTTCTAATACAACAAAGATGCGCACTTACTATTTTCATCAAGCTTTCTAGCACTTGATGTATTTACAGTAAATAAAACTACTTAAATTTAAAACTATTTGGTCAGCACAATGCTAATTATATTTTGGTCCTTGTGTATATCTGTACAGAACAACGGATAACCTTCCTGTCATTTAGCAATAATGTAGCGGAGCATATTTTACTATGCTGACCTAAAGCTCTGAATTCAAAACATCTCTGGTCGAAATGCCAAATACAGCATCTTGAATTCAGAGTTAATGCGTTTTGCCTTGTTGGGTTATTTAACCTGTTACAGTTCATGGCCATTGATTTAACTACACTCATTAGGCACCAGCAATTGATGTAGTTGAGTGAAATTTTAAAAGATTCATAATTGCTATTAATACACCCTTTGATTTATGTTGTCGAAGTAGCTTCTTTCTGGCATTAGGTCACATTCATGCCCATAATATGAGCCTACCCACCACCACCTGCATGACTGGATTCCTGTTTGCTTGGGTCAGGATTTAAGGGTGCTTTGTCATACAGGCGACGTGCAGACCGTGACAACTCCACATTTATTTCCAGAAATGATTTCAGCGAAACTTTTCACTCGGTCTGCATGGAGTGACGGGAGTCCCTACATTCGTGTTTTGTTTTTTTTTTGAGACAAAGGGTCCCGCTGGACTTCGCTTCCTCAGTTGTGAAGCAAATGTTCAAGGTACTCACCGGTTACCTGTAACTTGTGTTCCAGTTTTGTGTTTTATTGTTGAAAAATTAATAAACTTGTTCAAACTGGTGGCTGCATTGGATCTGCTATTCATACATACACAAGTTCAAGAAAAATTCATGAAAGGAATACAAAATTTATTAGTCCATTTTGATAGATGCGACATCTAATTCTTTTTTGTGAATGTTAAATATTTTTATGCATTTTCAAGTAAACAGTGAAATCGCTCCCAGCTTCTATCCGGCTCACAAGTAAGAGCTTGCATACTTGACATGCTGGAAAATATTCCAAATTTTACAGTAAGAATAAAGACAAGAATACACAAAAACACTATACATGTCAACAATAAAAGATAACGGAAAAAGTCATTTTTCTCAACATCCAAGAGGAGCAGGTGCAAAAAAGTACAAAGCCAGAAGAATAAGGTACACGACCACCAGAGCCGTTCCTGTTCAAAAAAAAAAAGTAATTAATTACTATTTTATGTAACAATGCAGCCTGAACTAATTGTACTAATCGAACCAAACTGTATTACATTTAATGATGCTAATAACTGTCTTAAGCACAAGAGAAATTCACAAACAAACTGATATACATACGTTAGTTAATACATTATACCTTAAATTTATATTATTTTATTAGCTCACCCAAAAATGAAAATTACGTTATCAGCCTTTATCAGGTTATCAAACCTGTATGACTTGCTTTCTTCAGTGGAATACAAAGAAGTGATTTATAGCAGAATGTCCAAGCTTTTCTTTTCATACAATGAAAGTAAATGGTGATCATGGCTGTCAGGCAGGATTTTCAAGGCTGTTCCTTACATAAAGGTATTGTACAGTAACATGATGGTGCGTAAATGATGATAGAAGTTTAATTTTGTACAAACCATTCATCCAATCAATAATACTAATAATAACACTTACCCTGGAAGTAGTCTGACTTTCCATCCATAAATATGTAGTTGACCAGAATAACGCTAAAGATGCTTGCCCAGAGGTGTAAATCACTGAATACGAGAACGAATCCAACATCCTTGGGAGAAACAGAAAGAACTTGTGTCATACTGCAGAACAGAGTAACAGAAACAACTCTTTTTTTTTTTTTGTTTTTTTTTTTGAGTGTGACTTACATAAAAAGCATTGAACAAGATCAGTAGCGGTATCTGCAACATGCACACCTGAACCGCAATACAGCTCCCCACTTCCAGGCTACATGATAACAAATACCCATATTAAAGCCACATCCAGATTACATAGTGAAAATAGTGAAATGCACATCTATTTTAACACCAAATTATTGTAACCTGAGGCTGATGTTGTTCTGAAGAGCAAACTGGATCCCATTGACTATCTCAGGAAGCTCGGGAACCATGGCCAAGACAGTAACTCCAATAAAATACTGCAATATTTATAATATGTGAATATTCAAGATTAACTACAGAGCAGGAACAGGGACTGTGCATAGGAGATATTTAATTGAATTCCATTTGTGAAACATAAAAATGGGAAAAACATTCATTTTATTAAAAAAATTACTTTTATAAATTATTTTACAGTAATATAAAAAAAACTATCAAACCAAAATAACCTGAAAATCATAAAATAAAATAAATTCCATATGTAAAATAAATGAAGGAATAATTTAAGTATTTTTTAAACCTTATATTTTACTTTATTTAAAAATAAAATAAAATGTACCTGTGAGACACTGGAGTTGGAGATGATAGGTTTGATGTGCTCAGTGCTGAGATCAGCGCAAGCTGCCATCATTACTGTAGCCAAAATGAGCACCACTACAGCTCTCGATCTAGACCAGTGAACCACTGCACCATGGTCACTAACAACTAACACAAACAGAACAATTAGTACAATAAATAATAAAACATCATACAACCAGAATGGCATAATCCAAAAGCAAAACCACAAATACGCACCATGACAGTGGGTATCACTGATGTGGATATCATAAATATGCGAATGAGTCTTAAGGGTGAAGATCAGACCAATGAGATATGCAGCAGGCAACAGGACAGAGATTGTGTACACTAAAGGCCTGAAAACAAAGACGTCATTTATGCATTTGAAAGTCTTTATGTAGTAAAACAAATGCGTTTAGATACTCACTCGATATGACTCAAAAAAAGAGGTCGGTTGTTTTCGCTCTGTAGGAAAACATCATGGCCATATATTTAACTACTGTGCTTTGCATCATTAAAATATGTCTAAATGACTTGAATTTTATTAAGTAAACAACGAACCAGGTCGTAGTGGCAGTTATTACATAAGAAGGGCTTTGTGGTGTTACCAGGCGAGTTGTTACATCCCTCACATATAAAGTTTCCATAAGCCTTTGAAAACAGCGTGGGGGCGAAAACACCTGTGGCCAGACAGAGGTGAAAGGTCAAAAATAATTCAATCTACTTAATAAATACAGTGAATTTTTAGCTCTCTCACCTCCTATTGATATAAAGAGCAGAGCTGAGCTGACTCCTGCCGACCTGCTGTTGAACCGCTGCTCTCTGTGTTTGCAGCCGCCGATGATCATACAGATGCCCTAAAACACACTCACACAGAATGCAGCTGTTAGAGGAAATGTTATAATGTACATGGCAGTTTTTAGAGAGTGTGAGGAAGCAGCAGCAGCAGCAGCACAGGAACACACACACATAAACACACACACTCGCTCTCACAGGTATGAAGAGGATGCAGCCCAGCAGTGTGCCGGTCAGAGCAGATTTGACGATCTCTGCGTAGCAGTTGTTTCCTGCGCGATGACCCTGCAGCAAAGCTGTGATGTAGAAGGCCATCTCCGTAATCGAGCCGAACGTGGCGTTTACTACCGCTCCCACTGCAAAGTTACTCTGTGCGGAAATACTACAGGGAAAACAATGGTATTCACACAGTAAAATGTATCTTTCTTTTGAACAAATTATTTTAAATAATTATTAGTAAAAAGCAGAAGAAAATACTCTGAGGAAAGTAATAATACATTACAATATAAATTATAAAAATATTAACCATAATATAAAAACTATAAAAATATTAACCTAAAACAGGTACAAACAAACATCCTTTTAGCAATCAAGTTAGGATTTTTAATGTTACCTTGCTATCCCCATCCCAATGTAGTAAGACAATGGGATAATAGAGCTCACTGCTGTGGCAAACTTTGCCTCTGAGCTCACATAATAATTATCTTTGTCCATATAGCCGATCACCAGAGTGATAATAACAAGAGGCAACAGATCTGAATAAAGTTTTTTTAAAGATCTTACCATGACAAAAAATGGTGCATATCATTTGTACAATAAAGCTAGCAAAAGGTATTTATCAACAGGTACAATTTCAGTGTTATTTACACACCAAAAAAAAAAAAAAAAAAAAAAAAAAAAAAAAAAAAAAAAAAAAAAAAAAAAAAAAAAAAAAAAAAAAAAAAAAAAAAAAAAAAAAAATTTAAGTTTTTTTAAAAAAAAAAAAAAAAAAAAAAAAAAAAAAAAAAGTGTAGAAACATTTTTCACTCAGAAATTTCTAGTAAATTTCACAAACAAGTACAAAGAAATGACAATTAAAAAAATTAATAAATGCAAAATATCTGAAGGGAAAAAACAAAATGGTATTTACTCCAATCATTTTTGTTTAGTGTATTATTTAATAAGTATATATTTATTTACTTTTTACTATGTATTATTTTTACACATCTTATTATATTTTCATGATTATTTATTTTCACCTCGGGTTTTATCATTAGTTTTTCCCACCCTGTATATTTCACAAAAATTAAATAAATCATAAATAAAAAAGGTACCATTTTATGTGAGCGAGTTTTATAAACACCAATAACAAAGGATACTGACAGCAAACACATTGATCCCATCCACAGTAAATTTGTAGTAGTACCAGTTAAAGGCACGGTAACAGCACAGCAGAACTCTGGTCTCACAACCTTGTGGCTAAAGAAAAGAAAACATGGCAACCATTAGTACAAAAAAAAGATGATCTACTAATGTAAACAGCAGAATAATGCTTACTTTTTTCACAGTCCGAATTATGACCTCCTCTGGTGGCATAAGCAGGATGATGCTCAAGGTCCTGACGTTCATCTTTGACACCGGGATGGTGAAAACCAGCATC